TCAAACCTTCAGTAAAATATTAGCAAGGTGTTGAGGGAACAGAGCAGATTATAGGTCATTGTCTTTACATATCATCTGGCCTAGTGCACTAGCAACGCTTGGGACATTGACAAAGAAATAGCCCCAATACATCACTGATGCCTTAAGTATATATGACTGCTATTCATTTCAGCTTTCCTTGGCTTATTCTCCCTGTACTCTTGCCAATTTCTGGTCACTGTTTCTGTTTCTATAAATCACTGAGATGCTAGGAAACATTACAAAAATCCTAGAGAAGTGAAATGGCATTTTTCATTTTGTCCTCCACTCTCCCCTCTTTCCCCACAAACCCCATAGTTATGCCTGTATAGAGGATTTCCAGACCTTTTTATTTAATCTTTGAAGGTCTGTGACAGCATCATCAACCTAATCCTTCAAGATAGTGGTTAGCAAAATTTAGAGACCAGTTCTTTCACCAAAAGCTGGTGTAGCAAGCACTATTGCCCAGCTCAGCACTGTTTAACTACTGCAGACAAGAACAGAAGGATGTTAAAACCCACATTGTTCTTATACTACCTATATCAACCTCTGTCAGTGATGGAGCTCCTCATGACAATTTTTTTACCGTGAATTTGATGCTTTTCTTGATTGGCCATCAGTGACTTGCAATCACATTAAACCACCATATCTGCTCACAAAATCTTATCACTGATTTTGTCTGTTCTTGTTTTGCTCTCCCATATTTCTTTTCTTTAAAATGTTTTCCCCCTCCCCCAGAAAGTCTCCTCCATGAGTTCAGCAGATGAAAGCTCATGGGATCCACTGCACTAAATTTTTCATGAGGTTTCTCAGCCCTTTGACTCTTCATGCTGTTAACAATTAAAGCACTAATTTGCAGGCCAAACAGAGAGTCTTCCCTGGCCTGTCCTCATAGAAGTGAGTCTATGAGACCATTTTCCTCCATGTATATGTGTATTTTGAAGTCAGAGATAACCCAGGATCTCATTTAGGTCCTCCCATCAGTGTTCTCACCTGTTACCTCTAATCTGAACATAATTCTGCTGCTAACCTGTGCTCTTGGAGGCTGCCTGAGGTTTTAGGCAGAAGCCCAGGACATAGCTTTTAGTCATACTGACAACCTGACCACTGTGCCATGTGACTGGAAAATAAATAATAGAGGTACTGGTAGCTCTCAAATGTCTCCCATATTTGCCTCTGTGGCACAAGCATATTTGGTCTCTGCCTTCTCCTGTTCAGCATTGAAATCATTCAAGGTTTATCTATGCTAATCAAGCATACTTCTACCTTAATCCCATTTTTCATCACCCCCATCCCCCTGAAATTACACAGCTTTTGCCCAGGTGGCCTGGCCATGGAACCTGTCCCATGGGTTTGTGCGGGGACACAGGCCAATCTGGGAGCTCCCTTGGTACTGGGAGAGACATATCCTTACAGGCTGAGACAGAAAGGGCTCCTTTTCTCAACTACATGGCTCTATGCACCGTTAGGTCTTGGGATAGGCAGTGCAGAGCTCTGGAGTTCCTTCTCTTTGTCTGAAAGAAACCTTGGATCAGATGTGTAGGAGGAATGTAAATTTCAGTGATGTTCCTTTAGTTAGAACTGTGTCTGCTAAGTGGCAAGTCACCAGCTGCAGCATGTTATCACTTTTCCAGCTTCATTCACAGACCAGCCTGACCACATGGTCTGGAATGTTGGATTTGGAGCAGGGAAGAAGTCACAGTACAGATCCACAGGTGTGAGAAAACACTGCTGAGTGTGTGATAGAAGCTGGTGTATGAAGTCTGATTTGGGAGACTTGCTGCCACATTTTTAAGGCCAGCCCTGCAGTACACAGGTATCCTATGAGTACGGAAGTCCTATGGAGAGGAAACCATATAGAAGGTACTGGAAATCCATGACACTAAAGCAATTCATTCTGCCATCATTATTGCAAAGAAAGTAGGTGCTTGAATCCATCAATTCTAGATTCCTCTTAACGTGTATGTCACTACAGGTGACAGGCTGCAGGTTCCACTAGGTCTAGCCTAGGTCAGGGTCCCTGCCACCCTCCCAGCAGCACCAGCAGCAGGAATTGTGCTCACGCTGCCCTGCCACAGGCTCACAGTCTGGCAGCTGAGCAAGAGCCCATCAGCACTGCTTTGTATCCACTGGGCTGTGTGTCTGTGTGCACAGGATCTTTTCTGTCATCTCTTTCTACAGCGTAATTTGGCTTCAAAAATTCCAACAGAATCTGGGAACTTAGCAGTGATCCATTTCCTTGATTTATGATAAGGCAAGATCTTAAATCCTTTTTAATTTTACTGCCACTAATGCAGCCTTCACATTGTGTTTAACAAATAAACTAATGTGTGTACATAAAGAATAAAGTTATTTTCTGCTAAATAAGTAGATTTTGGTTTCCAAGTTAATGGGTAATTGTAAACAGCAGCTGCCTAGATATCATCCTTTACGGCATGAATAGAACCATCAGCGTATTGAAACTAGAGGGAGAAAGAATATTTGCTTCAACTGCCTTATTGTTCTCTTCAGAAAAAAATCCTTTTGAAGTATGCAGCTACAAAGCAGCTATTTAACAACAACAACAACAAAAAGGTGTCATTTTCTACAGCTTTAGGAAAAGGGGGAGAAAAGTAGCAGCTACAATAATAGGATGTGATATATTATAAATTTCAGGAAGAATCAATCCCTCAAAGGAGGAGAAAACAAATGTATATAAAAGGTCTCCATTCTACAGAAAAAGGAAAGATGCCTTTGGAAATACCTAAACAGTAATTTTTTCTTTAAAAAAATCTTTTCTATGTTCTGTGTTTTATCTGTTTTGAAGAGATACTTTCACTGTTTACAATATCCCAACCTTCACCAAAATGCCATCATTTACATTTGCAGAACTCACACTCACTCACAGCCAAAGTCAGTTCCATGGGTTCAAACTCAAATCATCCCCCTCTACACGGCCCTTATAGAGCCACCTTCTGATAAGTCCTTGTTCCCTTCAGATAAAGGCAAAATGTACATCTTCCAGGTTACTGTAAAAAAACCTACATGCTACTTTTTTTTTTTCTTTGTCCATATCCCTTTCTATTTGTCAACAACTGTATGCAGGTAAAATAACTACACAAGATTTCTCCTTACTAAGCACCAAAAACTCCAGCACTGTTCTGTAGATAATCAATTCTGAAGTTATATAAAACTAAGTTCAACCTCTGTAATAGTAGATTTGCACAGCTGTAAATCAGAGAACAACCGGCTCTAAGATTTTCACAATCCTGAGGTTTTGCCTGGTTCAAGCTATTGATTTTGTCCTTGGTACTATAATTATTGGCAAGAAGAGCAAATACTTTGAAAACATATCAGCAATCATATAATACAGAAATGGAAAAGACTGTTTTCCAACAGCAGCCCTTTTCCTGAGCAGAACTTTTCAGGACAACTTCAAAGGACTTTCTTATTAGATACCCATATCACTTGTATTAATATACTGTTGTTTTATATATCCATAGTATTCCTGTGACAAACAGATGTTTCTTCCATGAAGTCACCATTCACACCATTTTTGTAAATTTAGCATATCTGTATCCGTGGTCGAAACTGTTTTAAAATTCAATTTGACCTCTGAGGGATTATGAACTCACATATTCAGACATTTATCTCATGTTGTGGCTGAAATGTATCTATGTCATTTTTAGGTATCTCCTCTGTATGAAAAATTATATTGTGGAATACATTTAATACTGTTTACACCCCTGATATTCAGAGTGATTATATTTCTTAGTACACAGAAACATTTTCTCATTTACTTTAACAACTAAAAAAACCCTCGGAAATAAGTTGTATTTATCCCTAATTCAGACACTACTGCATTAGCTATGGATGACAGATCAGGATATGTAAATTTATTAGATATGTTAATAACTCATACCTTGGCTGATGGAGAATTTGGAGTATTACAATGTAGATGAGGGTTGCCCACAACACTTACAGAAAAGGATAAAGAAACTCATCTTCAACATGCTGTTTGCCCTCATTATAATTGTTAAAATTATAATCTGAAACATTTTCCCTCTGAAAGGAAAAAAATTGTAATTAACTTACATGAAGTAAAATCTCGTTAAATTAATTAAATGAAAAGAAAAATTAATTTGAAGGGAAAAACAAATGAAGAACAAACTTTATTAAATACAGTAAAACTATTAATATTCATTTCAGTGAAATGAATATAATTAGAAATAGTTAGCAAGCAAGAAGGCAGAAATCTGCTCTCTCTGCACAATGGAGGAATTGTTCCATGATACTTTCTGTAAAATATGGCTTCATACATTTCATTGCAAATAGCTTTCTAATACAGAGTGCATTATAGGTTTTAGTTTCAAAATAGACTGCTAGTAGTTCTTCAGATAAGAGATTTAAATTCCAGTATGAGTTCTATCTCAAGAAAATAGTTCCACGTAAGATTAAAATAAAATATGAACAGCTCTTATTAATGGACCTCCATAAAGTGCTCTGCTTTATAGACTGCTCTGTGCTAGCCAGTCCCTGGTGTAAATGTTTTCTAATTAAAGTAAGGCAGGAGCAAGCAGAAACTGAGTTCTGTCCTCAGTCTTCACTCCCAAACCGAACACCTCCAGAATGAAGTTGTATGAACTGATTCAGATACTTCTACTACCATAACTACAAGAATCAGAAACTCAGCCATCATGGAAAACCAAAGTACAATACAAGCCACAGGTCTGTGGTTCCACCTAAAGACAACATCACATGACTTATTTTGCATGAGAGAGCACACTGAAGTGAGGGCATTTCACCCCCCAGGCTGTGCCTGCAGATGGACACTTTGAACACACCCAGTCCTGCAAGGAGTGGAACGACAGGGCTTCACGGTGCCACTGCTCCCACTGCAGCCCCTTCTCCTCCATGGAAGCAGCTCTAACAAGCTGCCCTTCAGCATGAAGCACGTGTGTCACACCCCAGTGTCTATGAAGCACGTGTCACA